GTTTTCTCTTAATAATTTGACATGTAAAGTAATAAAATATATAATTATTACATGCTTATTTGGCCACAATTTTTTGAACTCATTTTTCCTAAACTCATTTTCAACCACATATTATATTGCACCACAACTTTTCTTAATTTTTCAATCAAACATTTTATGATTTTTTATTAAAATCCATTGAAAATATGATTTTTAACTCATTTTTGGTCTCTATTATCTAAAATTCATTTTTTCTTAAACTCATTGTCAATCACATATTCTTTCAATAAAACATTTTTATATGTAAACCCATAATGTTTCTCTATTTTTTAACTACGATTCTCTAAAATAATCATTTTCATAATAACTATGCCTAATATGGGCTAAGTATTTGGAGAGAGAGATTATAACAATTCAATAATTTACAAAATACACCACGCACATTAAAGTGACTTAAAAAGCATAGCACGTTTTACAAAGTTAAATTTCATAAACTAAATTTCACAAAATGGTAACAAAAAACACCATTTTCTCAACCATAGTTAAGGCCTATTTGTAACAACTTGGACTAGATTTCTCTAAAATCTGTTTTTAACAAATAGCACTTCAAAAATAAGAAAATGATATTTATAGACAATCAACGTGACAATGGGACTACTGCAACATTATCCAATTTTTTAAAAATGCATTCAAACTTCATTGAACAACATGGTGCTAAAATTGACCAATGATCGATCATGTGGAGGCCAGATGAATAGCATTATTCTCCAAAATATTATCATACTGGCAAAAAAAAAAAAAAATTTTTCTCCAAAAAAATATAAAAATGGAAAAAAAAAAAAAAAAAAAAAAAAAAAAAAAAAAAGAGTTTTCTTGACTTTCCAAAAGCCATGTAAAACAGCCAAAGAATCGTGACAATCATCAATGGTCTAATTTTTAATATAATTAAAAAATGTTCACCTAAAGTCTATGAATATTAACCAAATCGAGTTTCAAAATTTCTATACCAGGAGCAAGAAATCTCCATGAGTCAACAAAAATTGATAGTTTTGCTCATCAACATTAGTTAAAGTCCAACTACATTTAAAACTTTCCTACACCATAAAATACCAAGTTGCTACATTGGTGTGTAAGAAAGTTAAGCACCACAATGTCAAACTGTCAATTATCACACTCCCTAGCAAAAGAATCCTAGAATGAAATTTAGTAGAACACACAGGAAAAAAAATTGAAATTGAAATAGGAATAAAAGTGAGCGTGAAATCAAAGAGAAGAAAGCATACTCATAGAATCATTAGAACACAAATACACAAGCATACATGTTAATCTTACATATCATCACTGCTCATCAATGGTAGAATATATTGTTGGATAAATAGTCCAGTTGAACTATGTAAAAGTCATTCAGTTAAGTCTGATCTACCCTGCCATCTCCCTCGGAACTTCCATCCCCAGCATACCTGAAATGAATTTCGGCAAAACAAATTTGAGATGTGTCCTATGTACCATATGAAATTGATACCCGATCCAGCCAAGTGCATTACATGTTAACAAATATAGTCATTGACAGTGAACGTGACTATCTATTGACACGGTAATGGAAAAGATTGAAACACGAACTCCAAGTTTATCAGGAATAAGGCTAGCTAGTTATTTCTCCTCTTTCCACAGTACAAGAAAAAATTTCTTGTAAGCCCCAAAGCTTAACATACATGCCAGTGCCCTGAGATTATTATTTCCTTCCAAATCATACCAAATGTGTCCATAATTACTTATTCTAATTATATCTTCAGTGCGACAAAATATGAGGGAAGAAATATAGGCCACATGCCAAAGAGTGTTCGAAACCTGTAGGTTCTATAATATATCATACAAGTGCAGAATCACAAATGTACGCACATTGTCCATGTGTATAGGATCGACTGATGAGAATGCGTCTTCAAGTTGTGAGTTACATTTACAAAGTTTGTAAATTCGTAAACTTCAATTTATGCTTGAATTCCCATTCATCATTCTGCTACTGCATGTACTATGTGGATCATCAGATATTATACTGTGCGCAATGTGTAACAACAATGTTCCATGTATCCATGATGAACTATATAGTTTAAAAGATCAAACACAAGCACAGCTATATCATATATTGAAGACAGTCAGTCAGTTGGCACCTTAAGAGACTTCTTACATGAGAATTTTGTTTAATACGGTTGTATTATATCCAAATTTATACATTTCGCAATCAATCCTCCCAGGTATTTAAATACAATTAGATGCTATAAAAAGTTTGTCAACGTGTTTTTGGTGAAATTACTATATTCCTAAATATTTTATATTCATAATTCGTTGCAGCAGATAACTCTTTCCATATAAAATTTATTTTTGTATTATTTATATAATAGAAACACATCAGTAATCTTCTTCACATACACCTATAACTGCAGATTCTGCTACATTTACTTCAAATATTTGTTCGTTATCCTAGAATAACTTATTACATCATGTGGTCCAGGATGGCGATGTCCACCAGATATATTGTAGAAAAGAAAATGCTCAATAAGAAGAGTAAGCATACCCAAATCATTGACCCACCATGATTCTGCATTTCAATAATTTACCCCATCCAACAACAATAGAAACTCAAAATTTCCTAGACTCATTGTGAATAATATAAGAAAATTGAGCCAATTAGGCGAAAATAGAATGGTCAACCAGATTGTTCTATAATATAACGACTGATGAAAAATTATTTGGACCAATAAAAAGCTGCATAATGGCACAAAAAAAAAAAAAAAAGAAAATAAAAGAGAGAGAGAGAGAGAGCGAATTTATAGGACCCGTGGTTTAAATTTTCTCATGTGGAGCACAATGGGCAAGAAAATTAAAGCAGTTAAGCAGAAACTAAGTAGAACTGTCTAACCGTATAATGTCATCTAACAAAATGTGGATACACTTCAAAGTTTTTGTGCGGTTCTTTTGGATCAAGTTTGACAGTGTATCCATCAATAGATTCTACAACACGAGAGATATCCCCAATGATGACTACTCCAGAATACATTTAGAGGGAGTTGACAACAACATTTTGATTCGCACACTAACTCGCGATGGCACCGAATGGAAACGATCTGCTAGTGGTGTGACTAACTTTCCCGCTTCTGGTTTGATAATTAATTGTAAGGTTTAGCATCACTTTATATATCCCAATCTAGTTCCCAGCAATAACACCATTGAGGTAACAAAGGAACAGGCTCTCTTGAACTATGCCATTCAGCTGGGTATATCTATTAATGTTGGAAAGGTCATCTAGAATAGTATTGTACGCATCCTAGCAGGATCAGTCACAAGCAATTTGGGACATCCCTCCTTAATCCATAATCTCTGTATACAAGAAGTGTTTCCACATGTGAATCTGATGAAGTATTACATCCCAAGCTACAGCTCACACGGGACCTCCGGGATAGGCTCTCAATGCATCAAGATAGGCCAAGCTCATCCCAATCCTCTCACCCAGAACCACCTCCTCAGTCTCAATGAACATACTTAGGCGACTTGAGGCAATGGACTTGCGAATGACCCGTTGGCAAGACGGGATGTAGGTACAACTTGATCAATTACAAACCTCCATCTATGACCAATTTCAGTATCACAATGCTTGCATGGCGGTCATGGCCTCCGCTCATCCCAAACTCACGTTTCCTCCACCACCGCTATTGCCATCCCACTCCTACCCTCCAGCTCCACCAAACGACCATGAGGACAGATAATGTCCTCACCGAGGTATTCATCTTTCTTTCCTTTCACATTGGGAACAATGTGTTATTTTAGTTTGGGGGTTTGTTACTCTAACGTAGTTGTTATCTCATGGTTTAACTCCTCTTATGTATTTTATATTTTCTTTGTGTGTGAAGCATGCTTGTGTGGGTTGGATAACATTGTTGGCGATGATGCATATATTTGGAGACATGAATCAGTTGGGAATTATAAATAAGTTGTGTGTTTGAGCGAAGTCTTACTTATCCTTGCAGAACATGATGACTTAAATGCACGAGAATTGAGCATAACGTTGGACTAGAATAGGTTGATTCATAAATGAGATAGGTTGAATTAACGATCCTAGAAGTTGAATCCAAACAACCACTAAACATTATTATATCCTTAAACCAAATTTAAGATGTTTGGGTGGATTAACTAATGTAGGGAGATATGGATGTAAATTGGATTCCGTGTGTACTAAATTTAGGTGGATTGTCCTAAACCAATAGGATGAAAATTGGGTAAAAACCTTAAGTTAGAAGTCGATTTTCAAGAATGGGTGTTTAATAAGGAGCATTGCACTAATAACTACATAAAAGGGAAAAAGCTGCCTTGTAGTAAAGCTACCTTAAAAAATTCCAATGTGGACAATCATAATAATCTCATTGTAAAACGTCTCTTCATAGTCTTTATAACTCGATAGAATAAGCCTGCAATAGTTTAAAATTTGGTGTCCTAAAATTATCTGATTTAGGAGTCATTAACTTAAAACTCGCTACAGAGGTCATTTACAAAGTTTAATGGAGAGACATCTGCACATAAGATTTTATTAAAATATACATATCTGAAAAAGAAAAGAGAGAGAGAGAGAGAGACGCATCACATGTCTTGAATAAGCCCCAAACACTTGTTTTAGAGGATTAGACTTTTGACAAGAGATTAGTAACTTGATTGATTCTTGGAGGTTGAAGCAGTAAAAAATAAGGAGAAATCTCTTCTGTTGATATGTTGCTGCAATTAGTGAAATCCAACCAAGCTTGAGCGGTGTAAGAATTTAGTATTGAAAATCAACTTTAGAATACACCTCGGTAAGTAAAAAAAAAAAAAAAAAGCCTGCGGGCGTGCGAATCCCACGAACGAAGTGAGAAAATAATTGACTTTCAAGGTCGGGAATTGAATTAACTTATGATTGTACTATGCTGTATTTGATTCTTCGAACACCCATACATCTGTTTTGCATTGGAAAGGTAAGATTTTGACTTTTGCATTATAACTTTAAAGTAGTTCATGAACTTGATATCACATATTCAATACCGCTGTAAAAACAAGTTACCCAACTGAATTGTGACTTTATGTCTTATTTTTTGGATATAGATCAACCATATTTATGCGTTGTTTTGTGTTTGCTCGAGGATAAGCAATGAATTAAGTTTGACTAGCACATCTAAATCATGGTTTTCGGTTTGTTTTTTAGCACTTTTGAGCGTTTAATGTGGGTGTTCATGTTATTTTGTAGCTTGGACAATTTGGAAAAAAAATGACATTGTTTGAAGCGTGGAGTGAAGCTAAAGTGTTGATCATGGAAGTAAGGATGAAATGGAGATAAAAGAAGAGAAAGACGAAGAGAAAATGAGGTCGGAGCATGAGCAAAAGAGGCGAGGCAGTACACAAGGCGCAGGCACCCAGCCGAGAAAAGAAATGTAGAACTATTGGTGCTACAGCACCACTAGCAATCAAGATTGTGGAGCTAAACTTGGGCTCCGCGGCGCCGCCTATCAGTTTTTTAATTTCGATCCAGCTCGGTCCAACTCCTCTTGACACGTTAGGGGACTATAAATACAGACAAAAAGACCTAATGAAAGGGAGGAAGAATGGCTGGAGAGGCAAGGACAAAAGCAAGTGATTGAGAGAAGATTAACAACCATTGGGAGGAGAAATCAAGCTACAAAACAAGTTTTTCTTATTATTTTCTTCTCCGTGTTCTTTCTTTTCAAATTAATCATGTCATTCATCTCAATTATGTACTAAAACTTTAAATCTAGGGTTTCATGTAACCGAACTTGAAACATGTTTTGATTCTTATATGATTATTTTCGTTGATTTTTCCATAAATATAGTTATGTTGATTCTTGCATGATGCTTTTAATCTCCTGATCAATAATTGAATGATTTGACGCTTTCAATTCCGACACTCGAGAGAGGGAAATTTAAGCGTAATCTAAGAGCAACATAACCTAAATTTTGTAGGTTCCGAGAGTAATCTTTGAGGCATATTCCAATTAAGAACCATGTGTGTGATAATTTTTATATTTTTTATTTGGAATAGAAATATTGAAATTAGGTTCTATTCAGCACTCAAAAGAGGAAATAGGATTAATTTAGGGTTTTTGCCCATAAATTTTGAAAAAATTGATAGAAATACTTATAGAAGTTGAAAAACATTGTTGATAGTGTGACAAAATCATTTCCTAGGCTTTCATAATTTGATAAAAACTTCACATTTTGCCTCCGTTATTTGCATTGTTCATCCCATTTACATTAGATTAGTATAAAGACATTGTTTCAAAACTTGATTTTCTAAATAAAAAGATAGCTAAAATAATTATAGTATTCAATAGGATTCGAATATCAATCCCTGTAGATTCGACACTTTTCACTTCATTACTATATTATAAAACTTGATATCGTACACTTGCGGTATAAATCATGTTCTAGAAACGAGTGACAGTAAGATGGACTTAAGCTCTCCCAAAACGGACAGTATGTAAGTTAACAAGTTGGACATCTATGCTGGATCATTACAAGACTACTAGTTCTTCTTCTTCTTCTTCTTCTTGTAGTTCTTTTACCGACATAGATACAATGTAATCCTGTCATCCACTAGGGTTGATCTCATTTAATATTGTTGCATAAATCTTTCTGAACCCTTGTATGGGGATAAATTGCTCTCTTTCATTTTCATGACTATTATTTCTTTCTTCCGATTATAAAATAATGTACTTCCAACAATTTAAAAGACCAAAATCATTTTCCAAAAAACTATATATCACTCTCATTGTTCCCATAGTAAAGATTTAACTTTATTCCCATAATCCTAGCATAACAATGGATAATCAAACTGACCACAAGTTTAATCCTATCCATCAGAATTTAGAACAGGTCATATCTGGTAGACATTTCCCAAAATGGTTACATTACTTTTCAACAGTATATTTTCCAGAAAATAAATCAATACGCAACACTTATCTATTCAAAGAGATCGGATACATACCGCCAAGAAGAGGTTAGGTTTCGAGCTTTCCTATCCAGCCGAAGGTTTTCTAAGGCAGAGGAAGCACGAACTACATCATCTGGAAGCTCATCATTGTTGTATCTCCAATTATATTCATCTTTCCTATAGCCAGACATGGATGACCCAGCTCTTCGTTCTAAGATAGATAAATACAACGTCACAACATCAATTTAGCAGGTAGTAATATAGCCAATGTTATTTTTACTACTCACCAGATGCCTGGGAAGCTGGGACAGCCCTGAGATGAGCATCCATGAACTAAAAGTTATTAAATGAAAATGGAAAATTAGTAAAAGAAAAGAAGTACTCTACAAATAAAGAACCTTCCCAGTGGAGGTAAACCCCCAGCAACTGTTAATGAAGATGGTCTCCGAATATTTCGAGCTTCCAAGTAGGATAGAGATTCGGCATCTGAAGTGTTTAATCTCCTATCGATACCCCTTCCTTGAGATAAATTCTATAGGAATGCAGATAAGAACCATGGTTAAAAAGTTAAGTGTACTTTAAACTAAGATAATACCCAGAACAGGTATTAAAAAACTATAATAAGAAACAAGCTGCCAAAATTGGACATAAACCGATATTATCTGATAATTGGTGCAAATGTTCTAAGGTAAAGAATTGGGATTTCTCTAGTTGTACAATCGAGGTTGACAACGTCCTCACAGGAGGGGGTTCCATGATTTTTTTATTCATTGTGGGCCCCCCTCACATGTGTGTGGTTGTCAACCCCGGTTGTACATGTAGCACTTTCCAAAGAATTGAGACCATATTCTGAAAAATCAAAAACTGTAATCCACTTAGCAATACTGTCGTGCAATCTCAGTGCGCAACAAGCTATAATAAAACATTTCACAATCATATCAATAAAATGGCATCATAACTCCTCTTATTCAACATGACTGGGTGCCACAAAATATCGTTTTGACAAGTTTACAAAGAGGACATGGGTGCCAAAGTTGATTGGAACAAGGAAAGTTTGTTTTTGTTATCTATTTCAAGACCGGCAGCCCTTCAAGTTATTTATCAATGCTCTCTTTTATTAAAATTTTTATTCCTACATTTTCTCTGTCATCTAAAGTTCACAAGGCAAATAGATTTTGTTTGAATTTATGTTTGCAGGGTCCCAAAATTTCACCTGTTTATTCATTTGTTCATGTATTTAACCCCCAAAAATGCCACTTTGGGAGCACTTTCATCATTCCCCATGGTTTCCATTAAAAACAGTTTGTAGAAACTCAAGTTCAAATGAGCAAAAACCCAAATATAAAAAGAGAAAAAATGAGAATCTCAAACAAATGATAAGATGTAAAAGAATCCCCACCCCAACAAATCCACAGTCAAACCCCTCACCCCCACCACTAGTCAGTTATACAATAGTAGCTGTCTTGTTCAAGCTAAGATCTACGTGGAGTGTGAAACCTAGCTCTTGAAAGCTGTGCAAGTTAGGGGTAGGCCCATATCTAATCCCTGAGATTGGGGACACACATCCACCACCCCCTTTCTCCAACCACTGTCAGCTACCTGGCCTGCAGATCCTGTATTTCAATCTATATCTCAAAAGTGAAGCTGAGAATATTCATTGGAGGTTTGCAAGATATAGCACACGTTTGTACTCAAAAAATTTATGTTGGAAAATCATAACAACTTAAATTTCTCCGTTCTTTCCTTTTTCACCAACCTAACAAAATATTTACATGCAGGCGGTAAGCAAGATGGTAACTGGGGGTTGCAGTGGGGCCAGTCCAGTAGTGGGGTTTGGAGGCTGCTGGAGTGGATGAATGTTGAATTCAACGATGATTCTACTTTCTTATATTACATTAACGTTTTTACCTCCTTGAACTTCAGGTCAGAACTGTCTTTCAATGAATTTAAGTCTCTAAATGGTTTTAAGAGACGGAACTTCTCCCACAACGGAAGGTTAACAGTTGAATAACAAATCAAACATTGGGGCTGCACATATCCTTTTTTCTGATCAAGCAGCACTTCATAACACTAAAAAGCAGGTTATATAATCCAGCATAGATTTTCAAAAATTTCTGCATCTCTTACAAATAAACTGATATAAGCTAATAATAAATAATTTGACAACGAAAAGAATGCTGTACTAGATTGTATCGCTCCATATGGTGAGATCAAGACTAACATTTTTACCCAGGAACTCTCCAAGAGATGCTCATATCCACTGATTAAATTAAAAAATTAGCAGGATAGCAAATAACATTATCAAATTCAGTGACTGGCTCAATGAATCTAATACATAAGCAAACACAATAAAAATGACATATAGCCCTGTTTGACATTTTTTATTATTTATTTATTTATTTTGAGTTTATAAGCTGGTCAAACTTAATTTTTAGCCAAAATTCTTTGGATCCAAAGCTTTTATCAACTTTTAGACACACCTTTCATGGGACCCAACAACTTATAATCTCAAAAAGCTTTGTCATACAGGGACATAGTGTTACTAATGCATTAAAGTGACAATGTAACTACTTTACGAAGTTTAACATACAAAACAGTGAGTTTATCCAACCTCATACTTCAAAAAGCCTTCAAGCACACCCAAAAGAAAAGGAGCACCATCTCCATTCCTATTAAGATCATATCCATTCTTGATGCTAAATTCTTGCAATTCAGATATCCAGGAATCCTTTAGCTGCAATTTCAACAGAATTTTGACAGAAGAATATAAAACAAATAAAATTACCCCAATTCATCCAAATGACAATAATAAGCACTGAAAATACCAAATTACATTCCGGCATGAAGACTTTCAGTGTGTGGTTCAATTGAGCCCAATCCAAATATTCACATATCAATGAAGTTAGAAGCCTTCCTGCGTTAGCAAATGAAATGTCAAAAAGAGTAAATTAGAAACAGTAACCATATATATCAACAACTCCTAAAAACTCAACAATAAAACAAGTGTTAATAATTCAAATACAAATCTTCAAAAGGCATATACCTAAATCTTCTACTCAGTAGGCAAATCTTCCAACTGGATAAACAAAGTCACGTGATGGCCAATTGAAGATACAATGAGTATAGATTTTGACATCATCAGTCTTATTTTCTACTGGGATAGAGTGGAAAGATTATATTCATGTATGTGTATAAATTTTGACATCACTAAAAATGTTTTCTATTGGCTAGTGCGGCAAGATTACACACATCTGAAAGAGAGTCATGAAAGAGAAAAAGAAAAGGGAAACTGAAAATTAAATAACCTGAAGGAGAGTTATGAAGTTGTTTTGCACGATCATTACAACTACCCAATAGTGCCGGAGGTAAACCTTCATCTTTCTCAATCACCCTATCCTCCTCTTCAATTGCTTCAAACACGTTAGCTCTTAGCTCAGCCTAGTAAGCAAGAACAACAGAAAGGTCAATCAGTACTGCAAGAAACATTAAAGCCTCTGACACCCACTATATTGGCAGACTACGCCAAGTCTTGGGGGTGAGATACATACAAATATTTTGAATATTCACTTTTCCAAAACCAGGATATAATGTACTAAATCGAGCAAATGTATAAGCAATACCAAATTCAAGATTTGTCAGTGTTACCATGACTACTCAACAGCATTACATGCACTACTTTCAATATTCTTGAATTTACACAGCATAAACCCCAACAATTTAGAATAAATTTATAAGAAAATAAAAATCGCAATGCATTGTAGAATCAATCATGAACAAGCATTACATCCCAGATACAACCACCACAAAACACAAAATCCCCCTTCAAATACCATATCAATGTTACAAACTTGATCTCATGTGCAGCAATCAAGTTCTAAGTTGCACTACCTACCATCCAAATACACCACATCAGAGAATAATTTTGACAATACATATATTTTGATACAAAGCTCGATATATTTATAGAAAATTATAAAAACATAAGAATACATTTAGAAAATATACGATAAAATAAGATCATTTCAGCCTTCTAACATTTAGTAGAAGTCAAAAGTACCATAGTAACATCTTAGAATATATTGTAATCAAATACAAATCTTGCAATCAATAAACAATTGAAACTTACATGATATGATTTAATCCAAGTAATACTTATGCAATGACACCAGATATCTTCAACCATAAATTTAAATTACTCTTCACTCCAATCCAGCAGTCAACAGTGTAACTAAAACTATTTGTATTATTGTATCTATTATAAATGATAAAGTTGATCAACTAGAAGTCTTCAATACCTCACATTATTTACTATAAATGAATTATAGCTGAAACCAAAAGCTACAAGTTTCACATATATGCACAAACAGATAATACCCACACGCACATAGAGTGACTGAAGTTTCAAAACGATGTGTACTCCACTGTTCAAGAAATTGCTTCTATCAATCACTTTTATCCTTGGTTACTTAAGACTTTAGACATTATTAGAAAAAGGTTTACGCCCATTAGTGAAGGTCCCGAGTCCCCAAATTCAACCAAATTAATACCCGACCAACAGGACTGATTCATACCAATACATTACCGTTTCATATCTGTCAAAAAATGGGACTCCATCTAAAAATTTAACTGACACATTCTGCCATTACATCCCTTAAATTTTCTCAATTCTTAACTCTCAATCATCCCAAATTCAAATAATAGCGGACGTCAACACTGATAAGGCTCGTTCGACAGAGATTTTTTCAAGTGAAAAAAAAAATTAATAATAATATTAATATTAATATTAATATTAATATTAATAATAATAATAATAATATTATTATTATTATTATTATTATTATTATTTGGGAGAATGTGTGTTTGCCAATGATTTTGGAGAAAAATGATTTTAGAAAAATCTGTGCCAAACAAGTTTTTAAACAAAAAAAGTACAGCAGTCAATGCGAAATTTAAAACACCATGTAGATGCAAAACCATCAGTGAACTCAAAACTCCACTCAATTTCACGGGAAACAAAAATTAGAAACCCTAATTCCCCTACATGCCAAACGAAGGGCTCGATCCATCGCACATTACTTGAAAACAAATACAGACCCGCAATGAATCAAAGTTATAATAACGCAAAAAGAAAAGGGAAATACAAACTAACACGGATCTTAGCGAGAACACCCTTCTTCTCGAGTGTACGAGTAACCAGCGTTTTCAAATCCATCATTTCTCTTGCATAATCGTCCATGCTCAAAAAATGAAATTGAGGAAAGTGACTTGTTGGAATACCGAGCGAATAGCAGGGTCAAGATAAAGTGGCTTTTTGAGCACCTGAGGTGCATCTTCCTCCAATTCAGTCCAGTGCTGACTCCTTAACTAAACTTTTTGAATTGTGTTCATCTGGGACCCATGTGGCGGAACAAAAATCCAATTGGCCCATATATGGTCAAGTGCGATGATGCACGGGTTTACAAATTATTTAGGCTTAAAAAGATATTTCCTTATTTTAATAAATCAAAAAATTATTTAATAATTAAAAATTAGATATACTAAATATTTAAAATAGATTTACAGGAACGTTATACATTTTTTTAAAGTTTCTAACAAAAAGATGAGTTTCAAATTTAAATACAAAATAGTATAGTAACTTAAATCTTATATAATTTTTTATCGGACTCCAATTCAACATCATCTTCTTATCTAATTCGTTCTTCTTGTCTTCCGATACAAGTGGTTATTTTAAATTATGGTAAAATGAAGAAATTAGTCATTGATAATTTTTTAAAAACCCAAAATTTAAAGAATGAAAAAAGGATGATAATACGCTCCAATGCATGCAAAATTGCGCCTAGGCGTGTTAGGACTTGGGGTCCGTCCATCTTAATAAGGTCAACATTATTAAGAGAAGTGATCCAAAATCTATTTAAGTTGGTCAATATTTCGGTATTTAACCGATGTGGGATTTATTCTCTTAATATGCCCCCTCAAGATGGTGGCTTTTTTTAGCAGACCAATTTTGAAATTCGTGTGCTCATTTTTAAGACTTAATCGAATCGAATAGCTCGTTGGAGTTTACTGAGCTCTGATACCATATTAAGATTTGGGGTCCATCTTGATAAGGTCAACCTTATTAAAAGGAGTGGCCCAAGATCTATTTAAGTTGGTCAATATTTCGGTATTTAATTGATGTGGGATTTATTCCCTTAACAAGGCGCGCCTTAGTAGTCAACGATTGCTGTTGACCTCCAAATAAGGCGCCAAGCCACTTGATTTGGCATTTTGGACAAGCATCACGCTTAGGTGCGCCTTGGCGCCGCCTCTTAGAACATTGATTTATATTTGAAATTAAAATCACTGGGAGAGCTCTTTGTTTTCAATTCTAGCAAAAAAGTGACCATTATACACATATCAATCAAGGCCAATTATGGACTATTATATGGCAGAATTCTGCCATTTTTGCGCCTTAACATTTAATTCATTCTTCAAGAGAGAAGGGCATTTTTGGTATAAAATTTTGAGATAGTAAACAAATTTTGGCCAAAATGGGACCCATGTTCAACTGTGTTACAGGAGAAAAATTGCTAAAAATGGGGAAAAGCTCTCCCAAATAAGGGCTATATATTTATTGGTGAAAGTCAATTATGCTCATGTAACTCTAATTTCTATTAATATTGTATTCCTACATTTTTCCTATAAATATGAAACTTTAGTATGAATAAAGTACACATAAATCTATTCATTTTTCTACTTTATTACCCTTTTTATGTATTTTATAGCACATTATTAGCACGAAGTGCCAGGCAATTGAGTTAGAAAAATTTGTTTCACTTTCTACTTACAAATTTTTGTAAGTGTTATATCATAGGTCTAATCAATTTAGGATATAAATACTTTTAATAAATAATTAATGTAATTTTATGTAGGGATGGTTAAAAAATCCATCAAACCCGATACTCACAAGGCCTCGTCTCGAACTTGGTGGGGATTACCCGCTTAATTGAGTATTTGGGTCGGGGACGAAGCGAGGTATTTATCCCCAAAGCCAATACGGGTGAGTATTCGAGTCTAGGACGTAGTAAGGTATTTCTCCTCGAAGCAAGTACGGGTAAGGGCTCCATCGCATTTAATTTATTTATTTTAATTCAATACTTTAAATGAAAAACTCCACGAAATTTTATTAATTCTAATAGAATATAGCAAGTGAAAGGAAAATTCTACTTGTACATAATTTTGCACATAATGGTGTCCATAATGTGATGTGACAATCATATGATTACTGATGTGCAAGTGTGAGATTTGAATTAAACGTTGGATCTAGTGCCACGTGTAATTATGGACATCATTATGTAGACAATTATATATATGTAGCATTCTCCCAAGTAAGATTATCTAAGGAATATGATAAATAATAAAAATCTTAGTTTGCCAAATATATTTGAATAATTTAACTTTTAAAAATAAATTCATTAATTAAATTTTTTAATAAATATATTATTATTTCATTTTAATGGATGTGAGCGATAAAATGAATTATCAAAAATTAAAAAAATAAAAATAAAAATAAATGGGCACTAAATGGGTCAAGGGCCTGCACCGCTACGCCCCGCCCTAAACGAGTAACGGGGCGGAAAATTACCTGGTGGGGGAGGTTGTCCCAGCCCCAACCCCGATCCGTTTCATTGCCATCCCTAATTTTATGACAGATTTATTGTTTAATTAATATTTAATTAAATTAAATAATAGAATACATAGATTCAAATCTTAATAATTTGTCAATATCAAATAGTTGTGATTTTGAAATACAAATTACATATGATTGAATCTTAAATCATCCACGATCGTAAGTAATAACAAAATACAGATATCGTTATTACAGAGACCATCACATGTGGTATTTCTTACTTATGAAGTAAATAGCTGATTTCACAGGTTAAAATGTAATGATACTTAAACGAACACATGGATATTTTATTATAAAAGAAAATATTAGAGACCTGTTGGGGAGATTCTACATGGATAATTATTTGAGTGTCAATGGTTAATCTTTTCGGTAGTAGAATTGGTCATTCAACTTGAGGTCATCATAGTGCCTTATATGAGACAATCTTATTTTGGTAATATTGGATATTGCTCTGCCAATGATCGCTAATACGACATCGTTTGAGTATATCAAGAATCTTATAAAAATTGCGAATGATCAATAGAGGATACGTCACTCCTAGATAGTAAGATATTATGGTCTACATTTCATTTAGTTAAGTTGATGACGAAATCATTTGCTAAAGTTTACTCACTAGTCGAAAACGAGTTTTAGATTTATATTGACTTAATAGTGGAATGAAAAATATGATCGATAATTGAAATTGACATATATCCATATTTCGTAATTGATGAGATCATATTGAGAAAAGATTTTAGTTTTACGGTAAATAAACAAGTTTTGGTTATCATGCCACTTTACGTTTCTCATCACATATATTTTCCTGACACATTGCTAAATGTCAATATGAGATAGCGAAGGTAAATTGGTGATAAATTAAAATGAGTGTTTTAATTTATCGAATTTTGATTCAATCAAAATAATAATTTACGTTGTTAGGTATCGTGATTGGGAATCTGATGGGTCACATACAAAAAGAGAACTACAAAAATGAGATTCACCAGTTAATTAATTGACAAGTATTGGACAATTAATTAATTGAGTTGTTTGTTAATAGGTCCAAATTAATTAATTCATGGACCAAATTTAATTGAGTTAATTAATTAAATATTGGACGGTTTTAAATTTAAAGGATGGGCCAATCCCACTTGAACTTATGCTAATAGGATGCTAAGGTTTGAAAATTCAGTAGAGAATACAATTAATATTCTTGCTAGCATAAGAAAATAAAACTCAAGTACTTTCAATTTTATTCACTGTGTGGATTTTCATTGAAAACTAGACAACTTTGAATCGCAGACCGTGATTATTCGTGTTCCAAATATCAGCAAGGAAGCTCGTGGAAATTATCAAAGGTATTATTCTAAACATAATTTCTATCTTAGCACAAAGTAAATCCTTAGTAGGAATTGAAAAATAATATATTTTTCGCTATACATGATTAAGTAAATTCCCAACAGTGGTACCAGAGATAGGTTTATGCTTCTTAAAAATTGTTTTACACATTAAAACAATCAGAAGTTGACTGTTCATATTATTCTTAAATCTGGCATTTTAGAAAATTATATTTTATCTTCAAAAATTTGTTTTAAAAGGAAATTTAATTTTTGATCGAAAATATAGATTGAATCGCAGTAGGGCATCGATGAGGGGTCGGGCGGCGATACATAGCAATCCACACAATGACTTCGTGCTGTAAAAGTAGACTTCGCTGCTATCTAGAGCGACGTTCACAACTTCTACTGTAAGGACATGCAATGCCACTACAACTACTACGACAATAGGAAACCATTGCCTGAGTGCGGAGACCCCTATTGAAAAAATGTCTATGTGCTGCCCAAAAAAATTAGAGTTAGGTTTCCGAGTTAGAAGGTGGAGATGGGGAGCCTCTAATGTAATTTGTAAAATAGAAGATCCTCACATGCAATTAAATATCAGGATTATTTTGCAATTTTAAAATAAAAGGACCAGTCATGAAATTTTTGAAATTGAAGGACTTAGTTTTAATTTTAAACTTGGGTAAAGTTGCAATTTTCAAAAAGAGGTTTTGAATTTTAAATATTAAAAGGTTTTAAAATTGTATTTTAAATGGATTTGACCTATATTTTAATTTGATCGAAATTTTAATTTTATTTAAAATTGAAGACTTTTTATCTTTTTGTTAAAATTGGATTTTAAATTAAATATTAAACTTGGACCATAAATTGAATTTTATTTTATTTTATTTAGGAGTTATATCCTAAATTAAAATATTTATTCAATTTGGATTCTAATTTGATATTTAATTAAAATTTGATTTTAATTGTCCCGTCCTAGAATTTTAAGGAATTAGAGATGGACTCTAATTTAACATTTAAGTCTGCGTTCAACTAGTATAGGATACATTTATAGCTGGACTAATTAAGACGTAAAATATGAGGAAACCATGGAGATGGATAGATGGTGCATTGACATTAGTCCAATGTTTTAGGAATTGAACAACTAGTCTTTTATTTTGGTTTGTAAAGGTTAGATAGAATTAGTCCATAATAATTTACATTAATTTTCTTGATCGATATTGCAATCTGAGAGTTGTTCTCAATCATGAAAAGTTGGTTGTCATTGAGTGGCCATTTGCAAAAACATCTGTTGATGACTCAACTAAGGAAGGTGTGACAACTATCATAAATATAGTGATAATGATAATATTGC